ATCCCAGCTTTGACGCGGTGTGATCGTGTATATCTCATTTCAATACTTACAACCATCCTTGCCGCATCTACCACCTTGTTCAATCATAGCTTCATCACTGCCATCACCACAGTGATTTACACCATCACATACCAACGTATTATTAATACACTTGTCGTCATTTTGACAAGGAAAGTAGTTCGGTGGACACTGATAGTCAGGATCTGCGAAGTTGGACATACCGTTAATTCCGTGTTTGCCAAAAACTGTGCTACATCTCAAAATATTCAGACATTATGTATTCGAGGTAATTATATTCGAGGTAATTATGTTTCTCGTCGACTTTCTGGTTGTACATTAACATCTTGTATACTCAATACAAAAAATGTCAACTAAAATATTCAGATTTTTTTGCAAACTATAATGTAAGTTACATACGCTTTTCATAATTAAATAACAACGTTTCTAATGATTCCGTTTGTTTAAACAACACACCCATTACTCTCTCAGTGGTTGTCGCCAACAATCATGCAAAAGTTATTGTTTATTATTTTTCCCATATCTTTGTAGTGCTGTAGTAGAAAGTTTTTGTAATTTGGTTGATAATTTCACAACAATTATTCTACATTGTTCTCTCCACGCTTACGCGCAAAAAAAGAGATTGTTTATAAAAAAAAATTGCACTGAAATGACTTGATGTCCACGTGTAAACACATAAATAGAAACCCAGCATCTACTTGCGAGAAATTGAACTTATCCCTAAAAATATTTGTACAGCAGAAAGTGTCCCAGTATTATTTTTTATTCGTCGCGCCATCACACTACATTTGGGCATGACCAGAAAAAAAATCGCGAATTAATGCTGAAACTATGACAGAATCCAGAATAGATAGCATATTTTATGGAGGCTATAACAATTACGACATCGATCGACTACTTTGGTTCGATGAATCGTCCGTTATGAGATCGACTGGTACGACGTTTGTGTGCGGCCACGCTGAGAACCAAATGTGTTCGCGACCCAAGTTTTGCTACGAGTGTGCGAAAGAAGACGTGTAAACACGTGCGTGATAACGTCAGTGATCTGTTTTGTATAACTAAAGACAAATTAACAACAAAAATACAAAACATTTCCAGTAGTGTAGCAACATTAATCTAGCCTCAGACAACCAATGTATTAGTTGTCTGAGATTTAGCACAGTGTTATCATTGGATGAGACAGACGTGGAAATGACAGTAAGGGTTCCAAAACTCACAACTCTAGAATTAATGCGTCATTGTGAAATTTGCCTCTCAACTGTCACATACTTGTTGTGTTTTCTATAGCATCATGTAATTACCAGCAAATACCATGGTACAACATAACATTCAATTTATTTTATAAGAGACTTTGAACCGAGTTAAAATAAAATATTTGTTAATAGAATAAACACAAAGGTGACGTTATCTCTTGTTTGAGTGTGCATAGTTTGATTAACATGATTTTAGAAACGTGTAGCTATAAAGTGCGGAAACCCCGAATTGAACACAGAAGACTGCTCATGAAAAAAATCCTATATTTTACCCATTTTGGATAGCGACGTAATTTCTTAAATTGTAAGTTGGTAACACAGGGTGACAAAAATAATATAATATGAATACTTTTTGACCTGAATTATTTCAAAAATATGTTGTTATTTTAAAGTGACAAAAACAATATTTTGCTTTTATACTGTATTCTATGGGGTTATTTAAGGCAAATAGCGATTCTCATAAAACATTTAGTAAATTTTCTCAAAATATATAGTACTGTAACACACAACAGTAGCATATTGTTTCACATCTTGAATTTTCAAGGTGAATGTTCCGGCGAAGCACTCCACTATCACCTTGAAGTATTTCATTAGGAATATGTGTATGTGACAATGCCCTCACAGTTTGGAATCAGTTTACCAACAGCCAATCAACGCGCTTGACCAAGCTATCAACATTGTCGGGGCGGAGCTAAGTCACAAGACGCTATTAAAGACGCGCACCACTCTACCATGTATTTCTATGGGCTCTGTGCGAGCTGCTGTGGAACGCCGGTCGAAAAGCCGTTGAAAG